AAATGTAGATAGAACATAATGAACATTCTGGGCTGCTTGTAAATTACCTCCTATAAACTCCTTCACATCGCCTGCCTCCCCATCTTTCTCCATGTGCGTGTGGGTAAACACAATTTTTTATCTCTCTAATTATATAAAGTTAGGGGAAGAAAGGGACACAGAATAATATTAGCATTTCCCAGAAGGAATAAATAAACCATGAGGACACAGCCACTCCTTGCAATGCCTTTCTGGTGGACTTACAGCTGCATCCTGCCCTATTAATGAGCACACAACAGCGCTTTGCCTCTGCAGATAGATGGATTTGTGTTTGGTACAGGAGGGCAGATGGAGCACTCCCTGTCTCACATCTTGCCCTAAATTACCATTTATTAAGCGCCTTCTGTGTACTAGGCAATGCCCTAGCACTCTGATTTAGAGAAGTTTTAGGTTTACGGAAAAACTGAGCAGCAAGTGCAGAGTTCTCATGTATCCCCCCCCATTACCCATGTACTGTATCCTCTTTTATTAAAGCCTTGCATTAGGGCAGTACATTTGTTGCAATTGATGCATCAATATTGATCAATCATTATTACTGAAAGTCCATAGTTTACATTAGGGTTCACTTTTATGTTACACAATCCTATAGAATTTAACATATGCATAACGACATATACCTACCATTATCATATTATATGAAATCATTTTGCTGCCCTGAAAAATCCCCTGTGGCCAACCCACTCAACCCTCCCCCTCCTTCAAATCCCTGGCATCCACTGATTTTCTTTCTACTGTCTCTATTGGTTTTCCTCTTCCAGGAGTTCATGTAGTTGAAATCACACAGTGTGGAGCCTTTCTGGATTGGCTTCTTTCACTCACAAACATGCACTTGAGTTCCCTCTATGGTTTCCATGCCACGATCACTCGCTTATTTTTATCACTGAATAATATTCCATCGTACGGATGTATCACAATCTACTGATCCTTTCCTCTATTGAAGAACACTTGGTTGCTTCTAAGGTTTTTGCAATTATGAGCAAAGCTGCTATAAACATTCAAGTGCAGGTTTTTACGTGGACTTAAGTTTATAGCTTTATTTGGGTAAAGAGTGTAATTGCTGTATCGCATGACAAAAGTAGTTTTGTAAGAAAATGCCAAACTGTCATTCGAAGTTGCTGTTCCATTTTGCATTTCCACCGGCATTAAATGAGAGTTCTTGTCATGCCACAGGCTTTCCGCCTTTGGTGTTGTCTGTGTTTTGGATTTTGGCCGTTCTAAAGAGTTGGTGCTGATATCTCAGTGTTGTTTTAATTTGCAACCCCTGTCGCTTCTCGGCCTTTTGGCTAAGATCAAGTGTAATTTGCAACTCCTTAATGACACAGGATGTTGAAGATCTTTTCACATGATTAGCTGTCATCTGTATATCTTTCCTGATGAAATGTCTACTCAGATTGATTTACGTGGGCTATTTATTTTCTTATTATTGAGTTTTGATGTTCTTTTGTATATTTTGGATACATGTCCTTTATCAGATTGGGTTTAGCAAATATTGTCTGCCACTCTGTTGCTTGTCTGTTCGTTCTCTTAATATCCTCATGCTTGTAATGCTTACCTTTTCTCATTTGATTTTCCCACCACCCTGAGAGCTAGATAGTATTAGTTCATTTTGCTAAGGGAACAAAAGCTAAGAGACATCAGTTGGGTTGCTGCATGATGGAGCTAAGATCTGTTCCCAGATCTGACCCACTGCTTCATAAGTTTACATTACTCATTTAAAGTGTATTCTTCTTTCCAGAGATCAGCCCAGCTGGAAATGAATTTGGTTATTTCATACCAAAATACCCTTCTGTGGACCCAGAATAGAGTCACTGTTTGGATGCCCTGCAGAGCCCAGCCCCTACTCTAGCGGCCCAGTCCAAATGTGGCATGGCAAACCTCCTGCACACTAACCCAGCCCCCTTTGCCCGCCCCTCACACTGGGTACTCCCAGGACAGCTAACTCTGTGTCTTCTCCAATGTGCTTGCAATTTCCGCATCTCTACCTCCACTCTTGCTGTTCCCTCTAATGGAAAGCCTTTCTCCTTTTCAACTAATCAAGCCTCATGCACTTTTCCTCGTTCACATGCCACTACAGGAAGCCCTCCATAGATCTTCTAGACCTTGAAGTTTCACTTCTGTATATAGTCCATCTCCCCCACTAAATTGACAAACTCCTTAAGCATGAGGCTCGTATTCGGTAACACTGTATTTCCTTCAACTAACCTAGTAAGTGCCAGTAGGTGCCTAACTAACATAGTAGGTGTCAGTAAGTCTGTTCTTAATAAATACATGAATAGGACCAACATCCCTTGAGATACCTACTGCCTCTATTTACCTAGAAGAAATAAGTTTGTTTCTTTTTGTTTCATTTTTAATTACTTTTGCTGTCAGATTTTAAATCTCGCTATATATATATATTTAAGTCTCTTTCAACATTTTAAACAAAATTTTCTGTTTCCTGTGGTATGAACCCTAGGGGCAGGCATAACTCAACAAATAAAGGAGATTTTGAATCAATAAGTCATTAGTGAGACTACTGAGTGAAAACATAATATGCATTTTCACTTTTTAGAGGCTGACAGCTTCTGTAACTGCTGGTAACAGGGCTTAAATCCGTTCCCAGGCCTTGTTTGAATCCCAGACTTCTGGGTTCTCTTCTCTGGGACTAGAACACTGAGGCGACCAGGGACTGATGTTTTCAGACTCCAGCAGCAGTACCTGTGAGATGGTTGAGGTCCCTTGGCAGCACATTGTCGCTCTCAGAGCAGGGGTTCAGGATCACATGGGCCAAGAGAGAGGCTGTGTAACCTGGGAACCTGCTTAGCCTCTCTGAGCCCCTGTTTCTTCATCTATGAAAGGGGAAGAACCATAGTACCACGTATCCTGATATTCTAAAAGTTATTGAGCTGTTTGTGTAATAAGTGAAATATTTATAGTCTCTGGTACCCACCATGAACTCAATAAATCTTAACTTCAAACTCCTCCCTCATCTCACACTAGACTTCCTGACCTACCCAAAGAGGCACTACTTAGATTTCCTGTCTATTCTATTTGCTTCCACAGAAATCCTTCTCCAAGGTGAGTATGCAAAGTGGGATCCAGTATAGCCCAGTGTTGAGCATAGTGTCTGCTACATGACAGATGTTCTATAGATATGGGATGGTATCCTCTACCAGTCCTGTTTTTCCTAATTGGACCCAGTTCCCCCCATGCACTTGCGGGTGCACACACACACACACACCTCCGCATCAGAGGGATTTGACATCTGCCCCCTGTGTTACCCAGGCTCTCGAGGCAGCTGGAGTTTGGCTGGGTTTGGTTGATGACATGCACCCGTGGGCTAGTGCTAAGAAGAAGCAAGTCTATCTCCCCTCTCCTCCAGTCAGTCACCTCTTAGAACAACAGGAAAGCTCCTCCTTATCCCCAGCTCCCTCCAGAGAGGCCCAAGCGGGCCCAATTCCAGCAGGTGCCCCCAGCTCCCAGTTTCTGGGAACCCCTCCTCCTCCCTCTATCCTGAAGCACTAGGGGAAGCAAGGTCTTCTTGTGGCTTATCTTTAAGCTATGTTGTTCTCTCATCTGGCTTCTCTACTTTCCCATCATCCAGGCCACTTCTCTGTAAATAATTCCCTCTGCTGTGTATACTTGTGATGGTTTTTAACATCCTATTTCAACCCCTTTCAGAAGGCATTTAAACTGGGAGTTAAGAGGACTTCATTCTTCCATGTTCCACCATTCACTGGCTATATAGCCCGTCAATCTTCATGATCCCAAGTTTCCTTATTTGTAACAAAACTAATCAAACCCACCCTGCTACTCTCACTGGATCATTATAAGGATCCAGTACGCATTCATCAAGAACTTACTGAGTACCTGCCGCATGCTAGGGCCTTTTGGAGGTGAGGGTATGAAACAGGAAACAAGACTGATAATGTTCCTGCCCTCAAGAGTTTCAATTAGTAGCAATAAATATTCTTTATAAGCCACAGAGTGCTATGTAAGTTTAACAGGATAAACTGGCTTGACCTCCTTCACCCCTGGGAACCCTTAGGGATGCCCAGAGCTCTCCAGCCTACTTGCTACAAATTCTTCACCCTCCCTGGAGTTAAGATGGACTGGCTGGTGGATGCAGTGATTGTACAACATTTGCACAATGATCTGGGTAGCAATCTAAGGGCCTCCTCCACACCAGATCCAATTAAGCTTTTCTGTTTGCATGTGTCGATTAATGTGCCAGAGCTCACTTTAATTAATTGCAAAGGATTATCCTGATTCTTCTGATGAGTACATCAGAATGGTTTTTATTTGGTGTTATTTGAAGTAAACATGCTATTGACTAAAGCCTGTAAGTCTTGTTTATGCCCGGATTGTGTTTGAAAAGGTATCCTAAGTAACACAATTTTCAGTTATTGATAACCTCTTTTATAACGATTTAGTCAGTCTCACTTTAATGATAGTATTGATAACAATATGTGGCTGACAATCTATTTGCAACAATACTCCAAGAGATGAAAGAAAAGCAATATGTGCAGATGTGGAAAACAGATAAGCTTGCTGTTTTTAAGCAAGCATGAAAATGGAGCATATTAATTCAGATTCAATACTCTCATGTCTTGAGTATATTTATATAGTTTCTCTTGTATTGTCCTATGAAGCAGATATTTCCATCCTCGTGTTAATAATGAAATCACTAAGACTTATGGAGCAGGTGACTCACTCAGTTAAGTAATAATCAAATCAGCATGCAAAAGGGAAGTGCAGGGCAAGAGGAGAAAGTACTTTCAGGTCCTTTTTAAGGCTAGTAACCTCCCTGAGCTTCAGCTTCCTCATCTGTAAATAGAAATCATAACTGAGGGCAGTGCTGAGGGTTAAATGGGAGTGTGGCATGGTACCTGGAATGCAGTAGGTTCTCTAAAGGAGGAGATCGCTGGCTTCCTCCCAAAGTTGTCTTATCCACCATCCCTTGCTTTCTGCTCTCTCTTCAGATGACCATTCCCGGGTGAGGCTGCTGGTGCTGGATGGAGACCCACACTCGGACTATATCAACGCCAACTACATTGATGTGAGCATCTTGATGGGGCTGGGCAGCTAAGGTCTGGGTTGGCTGTGCAGGCTCAAGATCTGTGGCTGTCCCCAACTGTTCCTCAGAAGGTGACCCCTACAGAACATGTGCAGATCGACCTAACCTTTCCTGATTTGCATGACCCAAGTTGATGATCTACCTAAGGCTGCATCCTCTTTCAGGCAGGGTGCAGTAGCTGCTCTATGGAATCCCATGACAATTTCTGGTCTTATTTATTCACTTCATCTGTTAATTTGTATATATGTCTGTGCATTCATTCATTCATTCATGTGAAGGTGCAGCCATTAATGCAACAAAAATTTTAAAATGCAGACTGTATGCTAGATGTTTTGGGAACCATAAAGCTGAAACTGCCATGGCTTCTACCTTCTAAGACCTCAGAATGGAGATAAGCTGTGTACATCAATAATTCCAGGGCAAGCTAGAAAGTGGTGAAGTGCCACAGGTTCAGCTAAAATGCTTCAGGGACTCAGAGGTAGGAAAAAAACATTGCTTCTTCCATTCTTGTTTCAGGGATGCAAAATGTGATGTGAGGCAAAGCTTCAAGCACAAGTAGAATCTGGAATCTGAGAGAGGGAAGGTGGGACTCTGGCTAGACAGAACAGTACAAACCAAGATGGAGCAGCTGGGAAAGAAATAAGCAGCAGCTTTGTATGAAGGGAGTAGAGAATGTATGATGAGAACAATGGAAAGTATTCTTGGTACTAGATTATTGGTGGCTTAGATGGCCAAACTTTTCCCTAGATCAGAAAGTTTTTGATCAAAGAATCAAGGAGGTGATTGGTTCAGAACTGAATTTTGAGATGATTTACCTGGTGCCAAGGACAAGATAGAGAAAGGAGATTCTGGAGTTAAGACAACCAACCAGGAAAGAGGGCTCCCTCAGTATTCCAGAGATTACTGAGGAAGGCACTGAACTCAACCAGGAGCCAAGGAGAATGCACTTGGAAGTGAGAACGTTTGCAAAGCTTGAGTGTGGCTACAGTAGTCAGATGGGCATCCCACCATGACTGACTCAACCCAGGCTTCTCTGGACCTCAGATCAGAGCCTAAGGCTCTTGAAGAATGGATTGGAAATCCACATTGGTTTCTCAGACTTTCAGATGTATTTATTGACAAGCTGTAAAACATAGTGGTAGGCTTTGTGAATTCCCTCACAATCTAGGCTGGGATAAATGATTCATTGATTTAACAAATATTTATTGAGCTTCTCAAGAGTCTTTGTTTCCCTGATCTATTTCTTGTCATCCTCTGGTCCATTTTGCATTGCAGGTAGAAGTATTTGTGTACATATGAGCATGTGTGTGGTGTGTGGGAAGATGGCAGTCTGACTCCTTCAATGAGAAGCACAGATAGATCAGAGGACAACAGGAGGAGGGAAGCCAGCAAACTCCCATCCCCTCTCCCTTCCTTGGGCAGTAGCTTCAGCTGTGGCTGTATCCCATCTGCAGCTCCAGCTTCCCTCACTCAGGCTCACTGTGGTCCCACCTCTGCTGGCCCTTGGCCTGCAGCTCCAAATCCTGAGCCCTAATAACTTTTCTGTCTCCCATTGTCTCACCAGCTCTGAGGATGGTCTTGGCCTCCTGTTGTTGCCAATCTTGAGGATGCCCCACTTTTCCATTTGACATCTCATCCTTTATCCATGTAACCAAGTCTCCATGCTAAACCCCTCTGTGTGAAACACCTGGAGGGCTTTCTATTTCCCTGCTGGACCTTGACTAACAAAAAGCCTACTATGTGTTTAAGAGGATGGGCTGGATCTTCACTGGAGATAAAGAGGGACAGTCTCTGCCATCATGGCCTTTCTGGAACAGTTCACAAGGAGGTAGCCAGTTTTGAGTAGAATGTCTCCAGCCAGACCAGTGCTCTAAACATTCATCTTCATGTCATCAGACTTTCCCTCATGAATCTATTACTTATTTCACAAATACCAAGCAGACCCTCTATGGTGTTCTAGATACTTTCAGGCCAAGTTCTCTAAACCTAAGGAGCTCTCAGTCTGGTAAGAAAATAGAGCCTCAGGAAGCAGAAGCTATGTGTGTGGGGCAGCCAGTGAAGGTCACCTAGAGGAGGTGACACTACGGTCCTGCCATGGACAAAGAGCCACCAGGAAGAAGGGCTCAGAGTAATCTAAGAGTTCTTGATCATTTCTCATGTACTGACAACCTTAACTAATTCCTCAACCTCACCAGGTAAAGACCATTTCTACCTATTTCCAGAGAGTAAGCTGAGGCTCTTAAGATTAGATGATATGTCCAGGATCATTCTGCAAGGATGTGATGGAGAAAGGGCAGGAATTTGAACCAGGAATGTCCCCAACCATAGACCACTACATTTAATAATAATACTAAGTAGTGACAACAGCAGTGGTTCCTAATGAGTCACTCCAGGGCCCTATGATGGATGCTTTAAATGAGTTCACTTATCAAGACTGCATGATAACCCTTCAGCCTGGGTCCCAGCACTCCCGTTTTTCAACTGAGGTTGAGAGAGATCACAGAGCTTGTGCAAGGCCATGCAGCTGTTCAGTGGCAGAACCAGGATTGGAATCACACCTGCATGATTCCCCATCCAGTGCTTTTTCTCTCTTCTCTGGCTACCCCCTGACACCACCTTGCAATGGTCAGCATATGTTCATCCAGGTTGAAGTGGTTCCTGCCTTTTCTCCTTAGCTTGTCCATGGCTGGGTGGGTGTAGCAGTCCTGGGGGCCACTGCCTACATGGAATGTCCCATGCCTGATTTGCTGCATCTGTCTCGTTATCATCTGACAGTTGAATGAGTATCTGACTGTGGTTAGAACCAAGAAATGCTGATGTTGTACAGATTAGGAGTATTGCCCAAGGTCACACAGCTGGACTAATTCTCTGCCTGGGTAGAACACACCACAGCCCCTCCCTCTTTTGGTAAAAAGTGGAGTGTTCAGACTGGCCAAGGAGCCTTTGCCACATGCGGTCTTAAAATGCAATGTTGGACCCTGGGTGGGGGGATCTCAGTGTGCCTTAGAGTCAAGCGCCAACAAGATTAAAGTCAATTATGAATTCGATGCTTGTTTTGTCTGCTGAATCCAGGCCTTTCTGATCACTAGCTTTGTGATTGTGGCTAAGTCACTCACTTATTTTGATATTTACAAAATGGAATAATAGTACCGGCCCACATGTACATAATAACTGATATACAGTGTCCATTAGGGTCCCAAAAGGAAACAGGCTCACTCAAAGCGAGGAAGATTTGATAAGGATGTGAAAAGGACTGAATGAAACCAACAGGCTGAGGTGTTGTGCTTGGGGATTAGCAATGGCAGAGAGCTAGCTCTAAGTAATTCTAGGCCTGGACAAGGGGTGAGAGTCTCTATAATGGGAGGGTTGCCTGATGTGTAACCTTTCATAGAGAGACAAGGGGAACCCATGCTGACCTGGCATGGAGGGACCTAGAAGGACATTTGCCTCAACCTCCTGCTGGCCTCTGTGCCTCTGCTCCCCTTCCTGGTTGGCTGAATGCACCTCAGAACAGGAGACTATGGGAGCCCCTGGTGCAGTTCATACAGCCAGCCCTCTCACACACAGCACAAGCGGGGTGTGGAAAAGAAGGTGGGGAAAATGAAGACCACCAGTGCCTCCTTGCACAGGACTACTGCTATGGGTTGGAATGGGGAGGAATCACATTAATTGTAAACCTTATGTATACTCCAGCAAAGTTAAATTCTTGTGGTCTCCATTGGAATTCTTGGCCACACACACACACACACACACACACACACACACACACACACTTCTGGCGCTTGCTCCTTCAACCTGGTCTCCTCCTCAGCAAGAATCTCTCCTAGCTCTCCAAGGAGCTAACTGCTCATGCTAGAATCATTTTTCCACAAGTAGATCTTGGTGATTCCTTAAAATGACTCCATTTAGATCATGAGCTGGATGGGGCCAGCCCCGTTGGGCCTCTGGAAGCTATGGTCTGAACTATCCTGCTGGCAGGTTTGTTTGCACACCCAAAAATGTATTGGCCACTTGAATCCATTATAAATTACCAGCCTAGACATAAATATGGTATCTGGGTCCACAGTAAGTAACAGATGCAGGAGTGCAGAGTGAGATGAATGTGTTTTGGATACAAACCTCTTTCCCATTGCTCATAGACAGATGGAGGGAGGCCAAGTGCTGGTTTGCAGTTGATCTGCATGCTGTGTAGGTGGGACTTAAGTGAACTCAAAGTTCTTTTAAGGTTAGGAAGTTTTCTGTACTGGCTCCTGGCAAATCCCCAGAGAAGCCCAGTCGAACAGCACATTTCTTTTTATCTCCACTGCTAAGGAGTCTCTTGGTTTGAATGCTTTCCCTTTGGGGACTGTGTGGATTTTTGGAGGCCAGGAAGGGTCTCTTTACTCAGACTCAGTGTGGGGACAGGCACACAGCATGCATGCATTCAATATGTTTTTGTCAAAGCCGATGGCCCAGGCCAACTTCTTGGTACTGGGGACAGCTATGAGCAAGCTGGAAACACTTCAGCTCTGGTGCAGCTCCCATTCAGCTGCAGAAGACAGATGACAAGCGTGTAAATAAAGAATAGCGTGCTGTCTGCTGATGAGTGCTCTAAAGAAAAGTGAGCCAGTGGAAGTGGAATGAAGCAGACAGCATGGTCACAGAAGGGCTGTGTAGGGCAGTGACTGACAATGGAACAGAAGGCTGGAGGAAGTGAGTGAGCAAACCACTCCATTATTGGGGACAGGCATGGCAGGCATAGGGAATGACCAATGCTCATGCCTCTGGACAGCATCATGACCACTTGTCCTGACAAAGAGCAATAAGTTAGTGAGCAAGGGGGACAGTGGTAGAAAGACTAATCATATGAGGGATAAAATGGGAATTATAGGGATATTGAGAGGCCCAAGAAGGGCTTAGATAAGAAGCCGAACAAGCCACCACTTTCTTAGAGAATACTCTTCTGGCCTCTACAGCTGAGTCAGTCCCCACGTGTGCTCCACAGAGCCTACATCTTCCCCTTGACAGATCTTATCCCAGTTTATTGATGTCTACAAGCTGCTCCAAAGAATAGCCATCTGATGCGCTTTTGTATTTTTAGTGTCTTGTGTGTAGTAATAGGTGCTTCATTAATACCTGTTGATTGAATGTTGAATGAGCAAATAAGTGAAAAGCACAAAATTGTGAACCTAAGCCATCTAACCCCACAATTGAAATATGAATGTTGTGCTCAAAATTTCATCCTGAATCTTTCAAATCAATTTCTCCAGGGTCTTTGGTCTTCTAGCTCATGCATTAGGGAAGTATCCCAACCTCACCTCAAAAACATGTACATGTGTGTATTTCACCAACCCACCTTTACTAAAAGCTGTACCCAGCTCTGGGTGGCATGGCCCATAGCCCAAGTAGAGAAAAGTACAAAAAGCCTAATTGCAGCAGATGTCATTGTGTTCATTGGGCATACCCAGTGCCCTACTAAGGAGTTACCTCTGCATCACAAAGGAGGTTTCAATGAAGAGCAGGGTAGTGAGGATTGAACACAAGGTACATAAGGTTGTGGGAAGGGACAGAGAAGGACAAATGGAAGTGAGGCTAGAGATGAGATTGGAGATGATTAGCTCCAAGCTGGGGTATGTATACTTTACCATGAAGCAATAGGGAGCCATTGCAGGAAAAATAACACATTCCGATGTGAAATATGAAGTTCATTTGGGCAGGAGCCAGATGGATGAATGAGCTAGATTGGAGGCAGAAGGCCAGTAGAAGCTTGATTCTGTGGGCCAGGCCAAGGAGGGCTGTGAGAATGTGTGACAGTAGGCATGGCAGATGAGGATAGACTTGAGAAACCACACTGCACCAGGATCTAGGGTTTTCTCTTCCCAGAACTACTCCAGAAAATCTCTGAGTCTGATTCTGGTTTCTGACGTAAACCTGGGCTGCCCTGTCCTTCTTGACTAGAGGAGCAGATAAGTCTTTCTACCTCTTGTGTCTCAAAGAAGGACTCAGTTATTATACTATTGTAATAAAGGGCTCGCTATCCCAGCACCCACTACAAGTCTGATGGGCAATTTTATTTCATCATGGTAGGCTCTCATTGAATGTTTCCCAAATAATCAACAAATATAATAACAATAGCAAAAACAGGTATGTTAAATTATGGACTAGTCCCTGTATATAATAACTGTCATAGGTTAAGTCATTTCCTCTGAACAACAATACTATGATTTAAATATTCTTAACCCCATTTTACAGGGGAACAAAACCTGAGGCACAAAAAGGCTAAGTAACTTGCCTTAACTACACAACCTAGAAGGGACAGAGCTAGTATTCATGCCCAGGCAATTGAATTGGCTCACAGTTAAAAAAAAAAAAAAAAAAAAAACAAAACACCATGCTATGCTGTCTGGCTGCTTTGTTATTGCTTAATTATTTGACATTTGCTCTAAGTGTCATACTGCGCTAGATTCTGTGGGATTTTTTTTTTTAAACTTAGGAGGCAGTTCTTGTCACCTGAGGCCTCACTAGTAGATGAGACCACTGAAGCAAAAAATTTAGGTGTGGCTGCTGATGGCTGTGTAGTTAATCTGACAGTTCTGGCCATGACATTGCCCTCGAGTTGGTGCTGACAGTCAACTCTAGGGTGTGACTAGCAACTGGAAGGTACCTAGTAAATGTTTACTGAGTAAGTGGAAATGGAGATGGAGAAATGTACAGGGGATTAATAAATTAGTCTTTGAATCAGAAACTGGATCAAGAACTTTGGAGATCTGCCTTTCTTGCACCAAAACATGGCAACTCTGGCTTATTTCCTGAAGAAGGAGGCCTTGTGGCAGCTAATCTCCTGATATGACAGAGAGATTGTTCAGCAGTGTTGAAGACCGAAACTCAGACTTCTTCTCATTATGATATGTTCCCTCTCTGTGACAAGAAAAGGAACTTTCCATGTATGCCATACCTGTGTAGTAAAACAGAGTGTCACTTTCAACCTCTTTCCTGATGCTTACGGTTATGGAGCACTGGGGCAACCCCACACCAGAGTCCTGAAGGCTTGTGCACGCACTCTGAAATGTACAGGGAAATCAAAAGCTGCTCTTTGAATCAGCAAGCAGCTTATGGATCTCCAACTTCACACCTCCACAAGGTCCTCTCTGCACTCAGAACTTTAATTACAAGCCTGAGCATGTCAACAGAGAGAAACAATGTGGCATCTTTCCCAACTTTCTTTTTCTAATTGTTAATAATGCAGAGAGTCAACAATAGAATTGTTTTCTTCTGTTTTCTCCTCTAGGCTGCCCCACAGGGTCTTGTACAGTGTTGTGGATATAATCGTGGCTCAGGAAAGACAGTTTGGTGGTTGACGTGCTCCAGAAACCTGAAAGCTCCCTTCGCCCCTCATTTGGGGTTCATAAACATAAGTGAGGCCTCCCCAATTTTTGTTTCCAGTGCCTCTGGCTCCAAGGAAAGCTTGTGTGGACACCTCACAAGTAACTAGGAGAGCAGCTCGTGTTTAGGGACCTGCTGAGTGCTTTTCATGCATCATCGTACTTGATCTCTGTCATTTCTCTTGGAGATAGCTGTGACAGCTCCCTATTTTGCCTATGAGGAAACCAACCTGGGAGAAAATATTTATTAATCTTGTGCTGTTTACAAACTTTGACTGGAGACTCTCACTGTGCTTTCCTCCTGTTATCCAGGGGTACCATCGACCACGGCACTACATTGCAACCCAAGGTAAGTGCCCTGCCAACCTGCTGCCACAGAGACCTTAAGGGCTCCAAGGAAGAGGGTTTTCTGGGAATGACACAAGCTTGTTGACACCTCCACTTCTATCTGTTACCCAACACCCCTTTTCCACTAACGGACTATGGCTCTTCTCTAGAGGAGAGGAATGAGTTTCCACCACCACCACTAACAACAAAAAAACAGAGATAGGCAGGGTTGAGAAGCCTCCAGAGCACCTTGAGAAGGAAAAAGTTGAAAAGTTCAGCTATAGGAATTGTCACTAGGAAATGGTCAGGAAGGAGAGGACCAGGCAGGGCAGACCCAAAGTATCATTCTGGTGCTACCAGACAGAGCTGGCCAAGTGTGCCTTAACTCCTGGATGGGTACATGTTCCTGAGAGAGAGGCAGCCAGCTGCCCTAGGAAGCAACACAGCAGTATGTTATCAGAAGGCTTAAAAAAATGACTACACCTTTCAAATCCTCAGGGAAGTAATCCTGCGGATAATTATATATGTGGACAACTATTTACATAAAAACATTCATCAGTGCTATCTATTGTAGGAAATAAATGAGAAATCTTGAATGCCCAATAATGGGCAGATAGTTAAAATAAAGTGTGATACCTCATATTGTAGAAAACTCTTAAGCTATGGAAAAATATTGTACTTGTTAAGAATTTTTAAGGGAGTCAAAAATGCTTGTAACAAATAAATGACGCTTATTACAGTAAATACACATACACATAAATACAGAAAATGGTATTCAAGCTTTTCCATCAAATACTCGTATTCTTTTTGCACTTTTAAAAATGGTGAAGACCCCAGATATTGAAGAAGTAATTTCCGAGACAATTGCTTCGAACTGTCAGATCCTGCTCCCACTCCTTCTTTTATTTGTGTGTTTCCTTTTGTTTTGCTTTCCTTTTGTTTTCCACCCCTTTTTCTTGCTCCGGCTCCAGTCAAGCTAAAAATCAGAATCTCCTTTTGTTTTGCTGTTAACAGCTCTAACCTCTGCCACCCGAGTTTCCTTCCTGTCTCTCCTTGAGATCCTGGAGCCTGGATTTCCGAAAACTCCCTCAGGCTCAGCCCCGACACAGTGCAGATCAGGTCACGGGTTAGAGAAGCGGGGCTAGAGCGGCCGGAGGAAAGGGTGCTGTGCCCAGGAGTCTGGGGTGCGGCTTTTCCAGCCCGGTGCCTGTCCTGGCCCCACCAGGCTCACACGCCTCTGGCCCCGGTCTCTGCTACGTGGTGTTCCGGTGAGAACCACCTGGCCTCGCTCTGCTCAGCTGCGGGGAGCTCGGCTAGACGGCGAGACGGACGGCCCTCCCAGCCGCCGCCGTGCCTTCACTGCCTCTCCCGCCTTCTCTGCTGGCAGGTCCCATGCAGGAGACGGTGAAGGACTTCTGGAGAATGATCTGGCAGGAGAACTCGGCCAGCATCGTCATGGTCACAAACCTGGTGGAAGTGGGCAGGGTAAGCCTCTCCTGGCGACCCTCGGTGGACAAGGCCAGAGGTGTGCCCCAGCACCTCTGCACCCTGCGCTCGGCACCTCCTGGTCCACACCGGGACCCGCAGCAGCCTCGGGGGAAGATCCCATCACTCCTGCTTCATATTCGAGCAATGTCCTTTCCCTTCAAGTCCTCCATCCCTCTCCCCGCTTCACTCGCTGTTGATAACGTCATCTCATGTATTTTGAGGAAATTAAAGCCATCAGATGTGAATCTACAACCCTACTTGCACCTACAATTGTCTTCTTGTTCTTCTCCTCTCTTGTCAGGCCCAACCCTAAGAAATGGCTGCTTTTGTTCACTCAGAATGCTTGGATATCAGCTATTTCCTATGGCTCTGCCCAGTGTGACAGAGGCCAGGACTGCCTTTTCACAGACAAGCCTAGTGCCTGGAATCTGATCTGCTCAATAATTTTCTCATTTCTCCCATCTCATTTGAAAAATAAGACTCTTTCTCATTGCTAGATTTCCCCCCTCAGAATACAGACATGCTCAGTACCTTCCACTTTGAAATGACAAAACAGGTAAAAATAATTCTCCTGTCTCCACTTTCCTGTTGAACTTTAATGACTCAGAGAAAGGCTCTGCTTCTTCAACTCTGTTCTCTTCTCCCCATTCTGATGTAGCTACTTTCTCCATCCCACCAGCAGTGATATTTGTCAACATCACTCACATCCTTCATGTTGACAAATCAAGTCGTCACTTCTCTCTTATCATACTCCACCTCTCAGTAGCATCTGACCTTTTCCTACCTGCTCTTTATCCCCTGGCCTCTAAACCCTGGTAGTCTTCAGAGCTTGGACCTCTGCCTCCCTCTCTGCTCTAGATAATCTCTCTCCTAGGTCATCCTTAACTAGACTTAGCAAAACCACTGCTATTTCCAGTATGCTTATGGTATGTTGGTGGATGGGCTGCTGAGTTTAAGGCAGGTGTACAAACACCAATATTCAAAAAGCCTTTGTATATCATACAAACTAACTGAAGAGTGGGCAGGTAAGTTTGTCGTGGAATGAAGTAGGGGACCCTTGAAGATGGAACATCCTGGCCATAGTCATGAGAAAAGAGGATCTAGGCTGTCATGATCCAGTCAGAGGGTATAGATGTCTCATGTCCTAATGGGGATTTAGGGCTAAGTGAAACTTTATCCATGAGTTAACCGTTATCTAGCCCATCCTCCAGTTTTATAGATGAGGACCAGACCCAAACAGTGGAGTAATGACCCTGAAGTCACCCAGACAAGTCCTGGGTATGAAATCTGACTCTTGGCTTTCAATCTGGTACTTGTGGTCCTTATGCTCAGGCTATTCCCAGGGACTTGGGCCCAGCTTACAGCCACTGAGACAAAAAGGCCATTCAAGAATTTGAGAATTCAGAGGCAAAACCCAGCCTGGCCTGCAACATATCCCCCACGGGAAACAGATTTTTTTGATGGAAATGCTATGAATCTAGGTTGGATTTGGGGAAGAGAGCAATCTCATTCTCTTAGTAGAACTCCTGCTATTGGCCATATATTTGCCAGATACTTAATGTGCATTAAATTTATCTCACAGCAACTGTACAAAGCAACTTTCCTGGTTGTCATTCAGATGGTCTGAGTTTGCATCCTAGCTCCATCTCTCATTAATAGTGGACCTTGGGCAATTTTCTTGGCTTCCCTGTGTTTTAGATCCTTACTTGTAAAATGGAAATAATAGTAATATCTAAGGTTTTGTTATAAGTAATTAAAATAGTACATGTAATTATTCATGGAACACTTAGTAAGCCGTATTAGACAAAGTAAGAATTATCTATTATTATTAACTAGAATCTAAAGTTCAGAGAGATTTCAGCACTTCTAGGAGCTACTTAGTTACTGAGTTTCACAACCAAGCAATGCATCCACTTCTCTCCAAAACCTGTTGCCACTATATCAGTGTTTCCCTAAGTGGGTTCCATGGGATGCTAGTCAGCAGGATGCATAGTGAGAAGAGGGTTCCATGGTTAAATATGTTTGGGAAATGCTGTGTCCTCTGCCCCTTTTGAAGAATCCTGAAGCACATTAGCATTAGCACACTTGAAGAGCTAAGTAGTCTTGTAGTGAAGCAGCCTGTTTGATTTTGTTTAATCAGCATTTCCCAAACTCATTTGACCACAAAACCTTTTTTTGTTTGTTTTTTGTTTCTTGTTTTTTACCTAACACCTATTAGCACCCAGCGGAACACACTGTGGGAAATGCCACGCTAGGCCGTGCGGCGTCCCCCGGAATGGTAATAATGCTTTTGTTCTTCTAAGGGGAAAACATGATCTCTCTTTCTTCCGCGGAATGTGACCTGTCGAGTCGCATGTGGGAATGCTTGCTCATAGCATCTGTACCCACTTCCAGGGCAGAGAGCAGGTTCAGAGTCTTCCCTCTGAGCCCAGCACTTCCATTCTTTCCCCAACTGAGAGCCTTTCTCCTTCCAGCTCCCAGCTACCACCTCTTAATAATGACCCTCTCCTGACCATTTCTGCTTCCACCCCCTAGCTGTTTCCCACCTTTTATTCTCATCTTTGCTCAGCTGATTGCACTCAGCTGCTCCAGCCTGATATAGCAGATAGAAGACTCAGCCAAAAGTAGAAAACTGGCCACATGATCTTGGACAAGTCACCAAACTTCCCAACTTGTGTATTATTTTCATCTGCAAAATGGGAATAATACCCACCTATCTCACCTAGTTTTGCTTGATCACTTTGTGTGATAATGCGTTAGAAAAGGACAAGGAGCTTTGCAACAGAAGATACTACTGTTATTTCTAATGTCCCCAATCCCTCTGGGAGTGAGGTTGGCCCTGTGCAGTTTGCCAATCCCTGGCCACCTGAGCTCCCCATGGACTGAAATGTCACTGAAGTGGTCCCTTGGGTTTATTTGATTGAGAAAATTAGATGAGGGGGCTGCTCACATTCAGCCACACTCTCATACATCTTTGTCTCTCTCCTTCCTTGTCTCTCATTTGGCCACAGGTGAAGTGTGTGAGATACTGGCCAGATGACACAGAAGTCTATGGAGACATTAAAGTCACCCTGATTGAAACAGAGCCCCTAGCAGAATATGTCATCCGTACCTTCACAGTCCAGAAGGTAAGCTTCCCTTGGCTGTGGGCAGCCTGTCCAGCACACTGACCCGACTTTCATTCAGATCATATAGAGATAAAAGATCTAATCTGTGCCCAGGCCCATGCTTAGCACCAGGGAAGGATTCCCAATCAGGTCAGACGTGGGAAACTACTATATTGGATAACATGTCTAGTGAGAGGGACAAACGAAATCCAAATCCAACAGACAACTCAGTGGACTAATGACGTATGATAAAAGCCACAGAGTAACATGCAAAGGGTGAAGGCAGAAACCCACAGGAGGACAGAGTAGTTAGGAAGGACTTGGGGACAGGAACTGGGCAGAGAATGAAGGGTAAGAAGGTTCCAGCCCAGAAAAGGATGGAAGGATTACTATCCCTGGCAGATAGCAAGAAATATGAAGAATGTGGAGGGGAAAAAGTACTCCACATATGGTAGGCCTTTGGTTCTCAAGCAGGGGTGATTTGGTCCTCTAGGGGATACTTGTCAATGTCTAGAGACAGTTTTGGTCATCACTACTTGGGAGGAGGTAGGTTGTTACTGGCGTCTAGTGGCTAGAGGCAGGGGTGTGGATAAATAACCTACAACACAGCACAGCATAGATCCTGTGACAAAGAATTATCCAGCCAAAAGTGTCAATGGTGTCAAGTTGAGAAGAAGAATGAGATCTGCCAAGTATAGTGGCACATGCGTATAACCCCAGCACTGAAGAAGCAGAGGGAGAGGGGTCAGCACAAATTTAAGGCCAACCTGGGCTACACAGTAAGTTCAAGGCCAGCCTGAGCTACATAGCAAGTCATGGTCTCAAAAAACAAAATAAAACAAAAAAAGAAAAGAATGAGATCCCAAGCAAGTACTACCTTTACAGTTAAACTATTATATAATCATTGCTATTACATCATACAGATGTTTCTTCATTTATGAAGAGGTTATACCTGATAGACTCATTTTCAGTTGAAAATGCATTTAACATGCCTAACCTACACAACATTACCGGTTAGCAACACAGTCTTCCGAGTATTACTGTAGAGTATTTGTTGTTTACCCTCCGAATGGCATGACTGAGTGAGACCTACAGCTTGCTGTATCAAAGAGAGTATCACACCACATACTATGTTACCAGCCTGGGAAGACATCAAAATTCACAATTCAAGCAAGATTTCTACTGGACCCATATTCATTTTGTACCATTGTAAGGTCAAAACTCGTAAGTCAAGCCATTATAAGTCTGTTTTAATGACACCTAAAACTTACTGAGCACTTACTAAATAAAGTGCTCTTCTAAGAGCTTTGCATTGATTAACTCATTTAATCCTCTCATCAACACTCTGAGGTAGGTACTATTTTATATACACTTTATAAATAAAGAAATTGAGATACAGATGTTAAGTCAGGTGTCCAAATTTTCCCAGGTATGAGGTGGTAGAACCAGGATTCACAGCTTGGCCCCTGAAGTCTGTTTCCCATTCCACTACATGATAACTATCATTTTCTAAAGTAAGCCACTTTAATGGACACCATGGCCATAAGCCTGAGGATGCAGAAGGGACTAGGAACTTAAATGTTTTGGTAGATGTCCCCTTGAGATTTGGACAAAACTTCATGAAGACCAATGCAGCTACCGTGCAGACTGGACGACAAAATGAGCCCAGTGACATTCTCGCAAGCACTATGTGGCTTAGGCTGTACTGTTTGCTCCCAGCAGCTCTCCCTTCCCCCTAAACTTGATGCTCTTAAAGTCTACTGACTGAGGTGGAAAAGTCAGGAAGCACGTGCACCACCCCAAGTAAGAGAAGGGAGAAGACTAGGTATTGGATGTTGTCTTAGCCCTTAGAAGCAGAGCCTGAGGCAAGGATTCACATACACCTGCTGTAGTCGATGTTCTTGCCGGAAAAACTCATAAGAGAGGGAGGCAAACAGAAGAGAGAAGGGGTCAGGTAGAACAAAGGTAGAGTCTTCATAAAGTCTAGCCTGGGCCTGATCCACCCAGAGTATAAACCACACCACACAGGAGAGTAGATTTTTGTGCCCCCACGGGAATCAGTCCACTGACCGTAGCTGAGGGGTGACCTCTGGGATAAGCAGCTACTGTCAGCTGAATGCACATCTCCAGAAAGGAGGGCAACTGTGAGGCACCAGCAGCCAGCACTCCCTGCCTCTGATGGACAAGCTCATGAGGAGGACCTGGGTGTGGAAGCAGTCTCATCTGATCACATTTGTGATTAGTGCTGGGAACAGAGTCGGGGCTGAGGACTGTGGGCCATCTTGAGACCTAGGCCCTGAGCATGGAGCCCGGGAGAATTGCAGGCAGAAAGCCACGTTGAGGAGTTAGAATCATGTCTTGGGCTGTCTTTTTGTTTCTCTTTTAAACAGTCACAAAGGAATATATTTTCCATAAGGAGGTGTCCTTAAAGACCCCAAGGGGATCTGGGATTAATTCAACTTTGTAGCCTCTTCGTGCTAACAGGCAGGCACTTGGGGCTTCATCTCAAAATCAATACCTTAGTTAGGGACCAGGTGTCATAAACTGGAAGTGTTTTCATCATCACTGAAGGGAGCATTAGGAAGAAGAGCCTTTGATAGGTAGTCACAGCACAAGTCTGGAGGACTTAATCCAGGGCTTCTGGGTGCAACCAACTTGGAGGAGAGAGTAGAAAAGGTCCGAGGATGTGTTCTTTGAGCTTCAGCTCACCCACTGCTCTTACTACAGCCTTTGTTTTCTCTCTCCTGATCAGACTCTGCCTCTCATCTTGCCCAGTCCTGGTTTGGGTTCCCTCGAAGCAGAGCAGGAGGTAGCAGTGATCTAGATGCCTAGACCCTATGTGAAGGGAGAGCTCACAGGAGAAGAGGGTGAAGGAGACAGGATAGGGTGCAGAGAGGAGAAAGGAGCCTGGCCAGGATGTACTCTCAACAGATCCCGCTGCCACCTGACCCCACTGAAGCCCTGGAACCTAACTGCTTTGTACACACCGTCCAATTTGGAAACAGAGTGGCCTTTTGCACTTTGATGAGGATAGCTAGTCATTCTGGCTTATCCAGAGCAGTCCTAGTTTTAGCACTGAAAATCCATATCCTGGGAAAGCTCTGGGCAAATGACAAAGTCAGTCAATCACCCAGCTCTTCTACCAATCACCGAGGGCCAGGTGTACTCTTCCCCCAATGGGAGCCCTGTTCTCTAAAGAAAGGGGCTGTGCGCTGTCTTCAGCCAAGACATGTGGGAGATGAATATGGTACATCAGTCCAAGAATGGAGACCTGAGTGAGTACCAACAGAGCTCTCTGCACAACCCCGGCACACCTACCCAGGTTCCTCCTGACTGCACGTCTGATCATGAGTTCACCTTCCATGCAGCCACCTGGGGATTGTCAGTGCCTCTGAGATGAAATCAAAGCTATGACTTGGATTCAACCAAGGCCTCTGGGGCCCAGCACCCCACCCTCCCACGTGCACAATACTGTGTTCTGTGGTCTTCTAGCATTGCCCTGGGCTCTTCATGGTTCTCTGCACACAGCGTACTAAGTCCTATTCCTTTGCCCTTACCTACACTGCCCTTCTGCCTTGGATCCTTCAGGCCTTCAGCTAGGTAGTCCCCACACATCAGTATCATGATGAGGAGAAGCACAGACTGTAGGGCCAGACAGACAGGAAGAAGCTGTCAGTTTACAACCCACTTGTTGTATTGTGACTTAGGCATGTTTCCAAACCTTGCTTAGCCTCAGTTTCCTCATCCATAACCCAGAGATAATAATATGAAGACTGATGAGAGGGTTAAATGAAATAATACACTGAAGTATTCAGAAGAGTGACTGGCACATGGTAGATGCTTAATAAATGTTAATTATTTTCATTACTGATTTATTTCAAGATTCAAGTCAAGCATCACCTCCTGCAGGAGGTGTCTTCCGTGATCATGTTAGCTGAACTCTCTCCTTTACATATGTTAATAGAATGATCCACATAGGAGTCTTCCTCCCTAGCAATGCCATGAACTATTCCATGGTGGGGTTGGGGATTTAGCTCACTGGTTCTTCCCCCTGCCCCCCAAGCACAAGGACCTGAGTTCGATCCCTGGTACCAAAAAAAAAAAAAACTATTCCAGGGAAAGAGCTATGGATTTTATTTTCTCCTTCCTAGTGCCTAGCCCAATTCTAAGCATAAATGACCCTTAGTGAATGGTTTTTAACTGGAGGAATGAAAACTCGGACTGTTTCTACTGTATAAACTTCCTATAAGATCTTTGTTAAAGAGTCTCCTGAGAAAACAGTGTAATCACCCCCTTTGGGATGCAGAATGTGTATTAACACACCAAAGGCTCTGAGTAGTCTTTCAGTAAAGCAAGTGATTTCACTTTAACTTGTTCCCCATTGTCCAAGTATTCCTGATCACAGAGACACTGTGTGGTAACACCTATTAACCCTGCCGAGGCCTTGTCCTCCCTGGACAGCAGGCAGGAGGGCTCCTCAGTGCAGCAGCTGCAGCTCCCCAAGTGCTGGGCTGGGTACAGGAGGGCAGCAGCTAAACGAATAGTGGCCCATTCTCTCCTCAGAAAGGCTACCATGAGATCCGGGAACTCCGCCTCTTTCACTTCACCAGCTGGCCCGACCATGGCGTCCCCTGCTATGCCACTGGCCTTCTGGGCTTCGTCCGCCAGGTCAAGTTTCTCAATCCTCCAGAGGCTGGACCCATAGTGGTCCACTGCAGGTAAGTCAAAGCCATGCTCCAGCCAAGTGTGCCCATACAGTTGTGCTCTCTTGGTAAAGGTGATGTTTTCCTGTCCAGTGGCCTTGACACCCCATGTATTCCAGTGCCCGGCCCTTTCTGATAAGAACCAGGTGCCAACATCTGACAACAAGTAGGTGTAGCAGAAGTTGCAGTCTTTGGTATTAATGTTGCCAGGAGATGTAGCCAGGGCACTGGCAGCATCTGCTGTGTCTGCCACGTACGCCTGCCCACATTATTTCACTTACTTCTCATCCAGCCTTGAGACGTGGTTGTTATTATCATTCCCATTTTACAGATAAGGAAACCAAGATGTGAGAGGTTAGACACAGGTTGCAAAGGCAGAGCCAGGATATTTAGCGGGGCCTTCTCCAGACTTCGCCCATAGCTGCTTAGTGTAGCAGCGAGCTGCCTTTTCTTCATTTCTATCAATCACTGGCCTGGAGCATCCTTAATAGAGTAAATGGACAATGTGAGGTTTTATGGAGAAGAGATATTTTCAGCTTTGACCTAGAAAGTCACATTGAAAATGAGTGACATGTCTTTCAGTCCTCTAAATGAAGATGAAGTAACATCTTCAAGGGCATGAAGTATCTCAAGGGCATGAAGAATTGGAGGAAGGTGAACGTTCAGACCTAAAGGCCAAATAGCCTGCGTCGCCCTCCTTCCCAGGGCCTCTCCAATGTGACCTTGGGCCCAGCCCATCTTTTTAGACCCTGCATGCTCAAGTCATCTCATCCTTGCCCTGGCAGTGTCCACATCAGTCAAGGGACCAGGAAGACTCAGTAAACTGTGGATGTTTCAGAGCCAATTCCATTCTCACACAGCATCCATGTGTCTTCTCTAAAATAGTAAATCTACAGCCCCATTTCACAGATAAAGCAATTGAGGATTGGGCAGAACCCTCCTGGTCTGTGTGAGCATTGTGCATGAATTCTTTCCTTTATAACTCATAGCAAACCAAGGGGCGATAGCCCATGAGTGCCCAAGCCCTACAACCCAAACAGCAGCCAGTATAGGGGTGAGGGAGAAAATAAGACAATAGCAAATATTTATCAGGCTTTCCACTACACGCAACACTGGCCGTGTTCCTGTCTCTCCATAGCAAGTCATCTTAATGCATCAGAGCAGAGCAGTACCACTCCTGGGGCTAATAAGATTAAGTGGGTTGGCTAATGCACACTAAATACCTATCAGAAGTCTTGGCATACAGTAAGCACTTAAGAATATCACTCTTCCCTGCTTCTTAGTAATACCTCCCTTCCCCAGCTCTTAGGCCTTAAAGTCAGGAACCATGTCCTGCTTGTCTCATGTCCCCTCTTAATCCCAGAATCCAGTGCAGTGTGCATCCTCAATAAATACTTGTTGACTATAAGTAGCAAATATTTATTGAGAAATCACTGTGCAGGTAGGCAAAGGGCTAAGTAGTATGCATGCATTATGCTTTTTAAACAAAATCTCATGCAATTTACATATATTATACTATTAATGGTATGCGGTAGAACTATTTTTATTATTATTATCAGCATCATTTTACAAATGAGAATAATGAAACCCAGAGAGATTAAGTCATTTACTGAAGGCCACCCAGCGGTAAGTAACAGAACCAGGAGGTGATCCCAGGGGTCACTTCCAAATATCATGTGTTTCATTACTAGATGCATCAGAGCATCTAAATAAACACAGCACAACCTTCACAAAGTCTTTGCCAGAAGGGGCATTTTATGTGTGAGAAAACAAGCTCACAGGCTAGGCAACTCATTCACTGATGATGGATCCAAGATTCAAAAGCAAGTCAAGCTGGTTCTTTCCTCTAAAGTATGTGAAGAATAAGACTTAGAAGAAGAGATGAATGAGTTGCTCTTTGTACTACCTCCTGGAGATCAAAGCCCAGAATGTTGAGTCCCCTTTGAGTGGTCTGGATTGTAGTAGAGGGGAAGAATTTTGAGGCAGATAGAAGTCAGGCTTCAATCCATGCAAGCTGTGAAGTTTTGTCATGAATGAAGACTATTCCTACCAGTTTAATTTCCAGATCACTGAGGGTTATTGTCCCCAGTGGCCTATGCTTCTTGGATTTATCAGCCAATATTGCTTTTCCATCTAACTCCATTTCTCTTCCTCTTTGCATTTTCTTTGGTTTTCACATTGTTAGACAAAGACAGTTATTTCCATAGGGGAAGCAAAATGTAAAACACAACTATAGCAGGCCCCCTTGACAGTCTGCCTGGATTTCCCTTCCAAAACTGCATTGAAGGCAAATCCTGTGTGTCTCTGGTTCAACATCATCATCCTAGAACCCAGCACTAACCTGGGAAGGATTGGCCATGCTCCGTGGAGTCTCATGGAGTTCTTTTGTTACTTTGTTCTTGGTCTGAGATTCTCCTAACAAAGCCATCAAAAGTCAAAAATTGAGTGTGCATCTGGAAATTGATGCCTGACAAGGGTCAAGGGCTGTCGGTTGCTCCAGTTGAATGATTCTGTTGGTTCATGGTCCTAGGGGAGTAGGTGAAAGTGGAGCCCCACATGTAGGGCCTTGGACGGGAGACTCCAGATTCACTCTCTGCCTTTGGGACAGCTCAGAGGTCTCCTGTTTCTACTCTCTCACTCATATCCTCTCTGTTATCTCTCTGTTCCTCTTCCATTGTTTCCATCCATCAATGCATTTGCTAAAAAGAAAAAAGAGAAAGGAATAAAAAGAGAAGGAAACAGAAAAGACATGTATGTTAGACAACTCCAGCGTGCCAGGCTCTGTGTTAAATATTTCACTCTACATAGGTGGTTATCCTTGTCCATTAATTGAGGAAACTTCATGGCCACCTACCGTATAAGCGTGCATATATATCATGTCTTATTTAAAAAGGAAGTGTGAGAAAAGAACCAAGATGCATTATGTAAAGGTACAATTCCCAATGAGAAATGTAATTGTGTTGTATACCTACAATGTAGCAATACAAGAATTTAATTTTTAAAAAAGGAAATGTATAAGCACATATTCTGGAGCCAGACTGCCTGGCTGAAATTCCCTGCTCAACCACTTGCCAGCTGTGTGACCTCAGGAAAAGTAAGCCCTGTGTGCCTCAGTTTTCTCACCTGTGAAATGGAGTGCAAAACTTGCTACCAAGCTCAGAGGGAGGTTTATAGATAACATTTGAAAACCATTGAGAACAGTCTGGCAATCAGCCAGCCCTAAATAGTTGTTTGTTAAGTGAGTATAGAAAAATCAGTTAGTCCTGATAAAATAGTACCCAAATGCCACCAGTACACTTTCATTTTACAAAGGAGAGAGCTGAGGCTCTAAGTTTGGTCCCTTGCTGAGCCTTTCCCAGAGTGTTGAGATTCCAGTAGTTCTGTCTGACAGCAGCAGCATATTGCCTCTCCGCATGACCCTCTGGGATGGAGCCAAGTGGTAGGGCTGGTCCCATCCAGAGGCCCCTAACACAGATTATCCTGTTTCTTCCAGTGCTGGAGCTGGGAGGACTGGCTGCTTCATCGCCATTGATACCATGCTTGACATGGCTGAGAATGAAGGGGTGGTGGACATCTTCAACTGTGTGCGTGAGCTCCGAGCACAGAGAGTCAACTTGGTGCAGACAGAGGTGAGTCACGGGAGACTAAGCCAGCCAGCTACCTGCAGCCCTGACCAAGGAGAAGCACTGTAGGGCAAAGAGACCACAGGTGGTGGACCTGGGTGCAGGAGAGGAGAGCAACCATGTGGCTCACTATGGCGAGACCCCTGTGGAAGCTGGAGCACCCCAGCCAATCCTAAGGAACTGTATGTAGTACAGGGATTTCCACCCATGATGAATGGTGGTGAGCTCCCCATTGCTGAGGGCGTTTGAGCCAAAACTGAATGGCAGCTGTTAGGGATTCTTTGAATAGTATTCCAGCCTCGGGTGAAGGTCAGCCTGCCATTTATTGATTGCCCACTATGTTCTAAGCATCAGTTCAGTTCCTGAAAGAAATGGCTTAATCAGCAAAATTCTTGAGGACTTGAACCCAGGGTTGAGAATTCCAAGAGAGACAGACACAGCTCCTGCCCTTGAAGGAGAGAAATTCCTCTAGGAAATGTCCGTCCAGTTAGAGCTCAAGGCAGGAAATAGAGGGAGGTTGTCTTTATTGTGGGACATCTACTGTGAGCAAGGGAATGCCCATGTGTTGGGCATTTATAACTCAAGATACTGTGTTGTTTCTACTCCACAATGACCTATGATGCCACCCCTACTAGAATCCCTATTTTATCAATGAAGGGGAAATTGACAAACTGTGCCCTCAAGATCTCAGAACCTGGGTCCGTGTGCTGCCAAGGCCTAGGTTCTTTGCTCTGAACAACTCTCTCTCACTAAGCAACTTTTGCTCACTCTCCCGCTCCTCCATGCCTTGGCTTTCCATCCTTGTGATAAGCCCATCTTCTGGCTCTAGTGAATATGGTTTATGCCCAGGCAGATACATGGAAGCTGCATACATCATCTACCTTGCAAAGTGAAGCTGCCCATGGCATTGGAGACAGCATTCTTTCCTGACTCTGCAGGGAAGACCCTCAAGGATAGGTTCACAAAAGATCTTGCTGCAGGCTCTGAGCAAACTTACACGGGCCGGTGTTCATGAGAGCCCAGGCAACTGCTTTACTCGTTCCCAGGTCCATGTCTGATGCACCTGGATAGGTGATTTATATAGAGAAATAGGCCATGTTTTTCGGGACAGAAGCCACTCAACAAACACTTATCATGAGCCTGAAACCCCAACAGCAAGTTCTACTTGGTGGATTTAGAAAAGACTTTCCAAAAGGAATGAAACATTGAAGGTATAGAGAAAGGGGAGTGGAGTTTTTCGGAAGAGAAAGCAAGTACCAAGAATTGAGATGGAATGAGTTTGGCACAGGTTTTAAGAGCACACCCTGAGACAAAGACCTGAAGGCAAGCAGGAAATCCCAAGACAGCTAGCTGGTAAGTGGGGGAAGTGAGACAGAGGAGGGAAGGAAACAAACAAAGGGTACTTTATCAGGGTGCTAAACACAGTTCCCTGCTGGGGAACTCTGGTGTAGAACCTGAATCTAGTTTGTCCCATCAAAGGGTGGAGGGTACTTGGGTTTTATCCTCAGCTTTCCCTCTGTCGTTGCTTGAGGGCTCCTTACTGGGACCTCACCTCCTTGGCTTTGAGACTAACCTGCATACAACCCAAGTGTGCTTCTGGGGCTAGAGAAAGCCTTCTATAAAGAATAATCACAGGTTACTAGCAGCAAGTAACCCTTGGTAGGGAAAGGTAAAACTGAGATGTGAGCAAGGCATCAAGAACACCTGCTGTGATATGTCCACAAGTTTCTCATTTTTATCATGACTCTGTTGTTCAGTCTTCCATAAAGAACAAATCACACTATGGCTCAGGCAGTCACTAAGAAGTACGAGGACTTGGTCCTTTGTTCACAGGACAGAAATTATGGATTCAGCAATGTAAATCATGCTCAGTCTTCACGGCCACTGTACTTACCTAGTTCTCTGTTCCCTCCCCTTGACTGTGCAGGAGCAGTATGTGTTTGTGCACGACGCCATCCTGGAAGCATGTCTCTGCGGCAACACGGCCATCCCCGTGTGTGAGTTCCGCTCTCTCTACTACAACATCAGTAGGCTGGACCCTCAGACAAACTCCAGCCAGATCAAAGATGAGTTTCAGGTATGGACAAATCTTGGAGACTGTCTTAGTCATTTCAAGCTATTGTAACAACTTTCCATACGCTTTGTGGTTTAAATAATAGATATTGATTTATCACATTTCTGGGGAGTTGAATATCAAACTGCCAGCAATTGTGGTGTCTGCAGAAGGCTCAGACGCTGTCCAGGTTTGCAGGTGACTGCCTTCTTGTTGTAGCTTCACGTGATGGAAAGCAGAGAAGAAGAAAGCTCGCATGTCTCTTTTTTAGAGAGCACTAACACCGTATATAAAGGTTCCACTCTCCTGACCTAATTATCTCCCACAGAACTCACTGTCTAAAACCATCTCCATGGCAACATATGCCTTTTGGGGTACACATTCTATCTATAGCAGTGACCGAGCCAACTTCAGTGGTGCTGTGCACATTTGTGGGGCTTTCTTTGTGAGAACTGAGATGTCCATAGGCTTTCAGGTTGCAGTGCCAGGCAGCTGCTGAATGCATTCCAAAACACCAAATCCACAGCCATGAGCAATGACTAACCAATAACTCAGTGATGCCTGAAGCTTGCTTTTAACTATAATTATGTTTTTAAACTTAGGTCTTACTTAGTCCTAGTCCAGGTTGTGAATGGAGAGAAGGTATGCACATAGATAAGAATTTCATGCTGCTTTGTTCCTGGGGGGTCTCAGGTTTTCTCAGTTGATCCTTACTACTTCAAGTGTAACACGTTCTAGAGATGAGCACCATGAGCTTCACTTGGGAAATGCAGAATCTTGGACCCCACCCAGATCTGATTAAGAGCCTGCAATTTAACACAATCTCTGGATGATTATCAAAATTTCAGAAGCATCATCCTAGAGCACAGCTCAGGCATAGCAGATCTGTACCTTGGAGCCCATGTGGTTAGACTTGTGGCGACTTCATTCTGAGAGGCCTGGACATGATTCACTGAATACAGCCAAGCTAGAGTTCACCCCTGTATCCCAAGGCCAGTACCAGGGTCATGCCTGAGCAACAGGAGCTGAGAACCAGGCAGGAGGAAGCAAAGATCTTTGTCATGCACAAACATATACGGCTCCAGGACTTGCTTCAAGCCCATGAGGAAATACTGGTCTCATGGCTACATGGGCAGCTAGCCCAGGCAGGTCAATATTTTAGTGCTTCTTCAAACAAATAGTATTTTACTGATGTAGAGCAGAGACAGTATGACAAATGACTGAAGGATGGAAGACAGAGAACTCTGGACATTGGAAACAGAATCTAGTCTCTATTGTCTGGGGCAGCTCTGGTTCTAACTTGCAAGATTCGCTCTGTAGAACATAACCTCTGCAATTTTGCAGATCTATTAGAGCATTCCCCTTAGAGGTCTCCCATCCACCCTGAGCATCCTTCCAGCCTCACACAGGTTTCTTTCTGAGAAGAGTGCTGGTAAACCATTTTCCTCATTCTACGACGCTTCAAGTGATTTTTAGCACTCACTGGGGATTCCCTGCCCCTATCCCCACCATACGCTCTTCTGGCTGGCCTGTCCTTTAATGCAGCATTGGCTGAGTTGAACAATGCAGTCCAACTGGCTGGCAGGAGTTGAGCTCCATGTCTGTGGCTGTGTGTGGGCATGCTGCCCCTGCACCCTTGGCATCTTAAAAGTGTCATACAGCTCCTGGCAAAGGTTCTCAGTCCACAAGTCCCAGTGAGCGGGATATGATAGAACACTACCACGATGGAGGAGGCATGGGTCCCAGGAATGGGACAGTAGAGCCAAGCTTAAAGGGTGGAGATAAATGAGCTAGGCTAAAATGGACCATCACTGTCTCCTCTCCTCAGGGACAACTCTCTAAGCAGTGTTTATCTGCCCACCTTGTGCCCCACAGACACTCAACATTGTGACACCTCGAGTCCGGCCCGAGGACTGCAGCATCGGGCTCCTGCCCCGGAACCATGATAAGAATCGGAACATGGATGTCCTGCCTCTGGACCGCTGCCTGCCTTTCCTCATCTCAGTGGATGGAGAATCCAGCAACTATATCAATGCAGCACTGATGGATGTAAGCAGAGACCTGGCAGGAAGCTGCTGGCTGGCATTTCAGGGAAAAGCTTCTTCCTGAGGTGGAGGTGGCTGCACCCCAGGGCCCTGACTGCACCATCCAGCCTCTCTTTCCTTCTGACCTGCTGGCCTTGAGCACCTTTGCTCGTCCTAAAGGCACCTCTTCCCACCCTGAAGGCTCAGGCCCAAACCCAGACACAAGCTGGGCTCTTGGCCCTTTGACTCAAAGAACCTGGAAAGAATAAATCAAAAGTGTAAAGTGATTCCAATGACATCACAACAAAGCTACAGTCCTACCATGTACTCCCTCCCACCTCCCACAGAGCTAATTCAACCTGAATTTCAGTTTAGGCAGCGTTCCTTGTGCCAGGCCTTGCCTGTACCCAGGTTACACAAGAGCGTACAGACATAGATTCTGCCTGCTGGCACCTCCCATTCAGCTTCCCAGATAACCCCTGTGCAGAGGAGAGGGTAAGGATGCCACGTAGTAGGTGCTCAGTAAGTGGCTGTTGGGCAAGTGGTGGGAAGCAGTAAAAGAAAAACAAAAGAAAACAGGCCCTGTTCCTAAAAATCCTGCCGGGGCTTTCATCTCCTACTTCCTTGACATCAAGTCCAAGAAGGGCATTCTCCCCTGCTGTAGCTTGGGATTCGGGTCCTGTCTTGCCTTAGTGAGCCAAAGCTTCTGCCTCATATTCTTCACTCTTGGGTCTCCCAGCTACTTCTGGTTATCATCATTCCACCTCCATAATGTAGAGATGTTTGTAACAGGACAGAAACATGGACCATCCAGTCCCACCCGTGCACTTTTCAACAGAAGAAACTGAGCCTGGATTGAAAAAGAGTTGAGGTCATCCAAACAACTAGTAGCAAAGCCAAACCAAGGGCTCCTGGCTGCCACTTTACAATTCATTTCTTGAGCATTCCCAAGCTTGCTTGATCCTGTATGACGCAGAAATCTTGCTTCCTGAGGCTCACAACCAAGAACAACATTGCCTGACTGGGATGAGCTGTTCCAGGTTCCCTTTCCCAGCCCTCCTCATGCTGAGGAGATCCCCATGTAGCTCTTGTGACCCTCTCAGGAACATGGGGTGCTCTCAGCTGGGCTCACACCCATACTTCTCTGACCTCTCATCCTCCTGAGCTTTCTCTCCAAGGGTTCTAGGTACTGAAGCCAAGGAGGTAATGGGAGACCTATGCCTAGCTCACCTCCCAAGAGGCCTCCTTGAGTTTTGTCCACAGGTTCTCACATCCACCACAAAACCCTGTCTGTGTGTTCAAAGGCAAGGAGCATTGTCTTGGTGAAGACAACACAGACAGAAAACCTCTGGTTTTAGGTTAGGACCTTTTAAGGTCACCGTGTGCATGTATGTATATATGAGCATGTATGTGCACCCACGTGTGAGATGACAGATGCTGTGTAGAGGTGCACTCAAGTTTCTCCTAGCTTTCCCCCAGTGTCTAACCCTACTCCCTTTCTTCTTCATCCAAGCAAGGATCAAACAAGCCCCTGGCCTCTCCTTAGTAGGTTAGATGCTGCCTGGAGTCAAATGCCTTCTGCCAGGCTCTGGTTCTGATTGTATTTTCTTTGTCCACAGGGCATTTCTCTTGTGAGCAGTCACTGGGGCCTTTGCCTTTCTTATATTAAAAAAAAAGTCCTTATCTGTATTCCAGCTCAGTCAGTGCATTATCTGGTAACCATAGCAGCTTTGCCTCTAGCAAAAAAAAAATGAAGTCCTCTGGGTTAATTTTTAATGTTTCCCCTGGTAAAGGATGATGTTATCCATGAAATGGATTTCTGGCTGATCCCTAAAACTCTGCAGGAGCACAGATCTCGAACATATTTTCAGATAAGGCTTTGTCAGGCATGCTGGTCTAATAGAGCATTTATCACAGAGACAGGGAAAAAAGCAAAGAAAACTTACATTCCCTGAATGTTGGGCACCATTGCATGTTGTGTCCTGGACTTGTATTGTCTCATCCTGCATTTGGGTATTGTTATCCCTATTTTCCAAAGACATACTGAGGGTCAGAGCATTTCTATCATTTGGAGGTCAACCATTTCAGAAAAGGTGGTGCCCAGGAATCTGAGCCCCATAGCTGCTGGGTCCAAAGCCTAGATTCTTTTCCACATCTGGAAATTGATCAAAAACCATGTTATCTATGGCCAGAGAGTTTGGCTTTTGAACAACTAAATGTTCTTCCCTCCCAGCCTCCTCTGACAATTCCATGAGCCAGGAGAAGGCCCTTGAAAATCAGGTCTTCCTGATGCATGCATCATGTCTGTGTTTGTAAGGGATCTTCCTAATCCTCCTCCATCTCCTTCTGACTTGTGTCCCTTCTGAAAACAGCTGAGATGCCCACGGGAGCTATCTTCCAAGAAAACTATTTCTCCGGTTTCACAAACTACTGATGAGATGGAGATGCTCTCCAATCTTTCCAAACACCTTCTCACAGGGTGATATGACAACTAGGGCTCAGCTGAAGTTCCAAGACTCACACAGCTCATTTATTTCTGGGTCTGCTTTCCCCTATCTGAAATGTGGGACAGAATTGATTCATTTATCCACTGGAATTACACTGTCTTGTATGTGCCAGCTGTAGTGCTGCTTCCTTGGATGAAAACCTAAGTCACAGGTGTTTGTACCTGGCCAGTGAGCTTAACGGTCAGGCTCTTGCTTGCTGATCATTTCACAGGCAAATCTCACTCCATTTTAGGACAACCATTCCTTTGGATTTATGATTTCCATTTTCCAGGTAAAGAATCTGAGTTTCGGAGCCATTAATAACTTACCAGTGTTAATCCCCCACCTTCCTCTAAAGGCACTCTATAAATGATGTTTGAATGAATGAATGAATGAATGAATGAATGAAAAATGTGTGGATGAATGGACAAATGGATAGATGGATAACTCATAACTTACAAGGCTCTAATACCTTGGTACTTCCCCTGCCCCACTAGCTGTATGACACAGTGCCCACCTTCTGCCAGGCTAGCTCAACCAGCCTGGAGACAGGAGCTAGCTTTGCAATATAATTCCATTTGGAGGTCACCCTGACCCCTCACTAGCATCACAGGCTCAGGGACTCTGTGGATCCCTTATGTCCCAAGAGGTGTCTTAGTCAGCAGAACAGCAAATCTGCATCCAGAATTTTTCATTTTATATTGTAATGATAATTATTTTCTGAGTTCTGAGATATAAATAATTTACTTGGATAATCCCCATCCAAGTGACACTTTCCTAATGAAATGTCTTAGTTTGAAGGAGAATATGTTTATTATGAGAAGGTCTCCTTTGCCACCAGGGCATCAAGAGATAACAGAACTGGCAGGTGCTTTGTAAAATCTATTAAGCAGGCCTCTGGCAGCCATTCAGGCCTCATCATCATCAGAATATCATTGACAGATATGTATTTTTAAAAGTTTATGTCATTCCTTTGTCAGAGCCACAAGCAACCTGCCGCCTTTGTGGTCACCCAGCACCCTCTACCCAACACTGTGGCAGACTTCTGGAGGCTGGTGTTCGATTATAACTGCTCCTCCGTGGTGATGCTGAATGAGATGGACTCCACCCAGGTAGGAGAGGCCCACTTGCTGCCCTAGGTGGGCCCAAGTGGGTCAGGGGAGCCATACTGCAGACTTGGAGGGAGGTCCTATGATGAGCACTGTGATGTGCTCTGTAAGGGGCCTTGTCTGACCATGTGCACCAGGCAAGTCCATTCTGCTGCCTACAGAGGCAAAGAATCTCCTGCTGGATCTTCTGCCCAGATACCTCCAGCAATGACATATGCTGCCTTTAGCTGTGTGCATGTTGCTGCCTGCCCCAGGCCCTGGTTAGCTCTTGCTGTAAATTCTAGTGAGCTTGTTGAGCCAGGAAGCCACCTCCCCAACCCTGAGCACCTGCAGCCCTAAGGAAGACTCAGTGTTTGGCCACACCTACCTGCCCTGGCCCCTTTGCCAGGCAGCTCATGCTGGCAGAATCTGGACGTCAAACTTTGGAGGCTTTGCCCCTAAATGCCCCCCACCAAATCCCTGGCCCCTCTGGGTTTGGCAGCTGCAAGCATCATAAATCTACAACACATCTTCACACTCAGGACACAGATCACCTGTCTTGGGACAGTGGTTTGGAGCCTACACCTATTGTTGGGTGGAAGAAGTGAAAATCGCCTGTCCTCTCAGTGCCTTGAAGACAACTCAAAGCAACTCAGCTAACTACCATTGGAATTTGGGCCTTGTACAGCCTTGGTGGGAAAAAGCAATATTTTCAAGTGGGTGTGAGCTGGAGTCTCAGCCTCTAGGAATTCAGTCTTGCCATAGAGACATATGAGCAAGCTGTCCTTACTTCATGTGGCTGTACTATAAGAGAGGTCAACACCAAAGTGTTCTGCTGACCAGGAGCAGGGAACAATTAATTCTGCCCAGAGGGTGAGGATTGACTTCAAAAAAAAAATGACTTTGACCTTGAACACAGTGGGGGGGGCGGGGGGGGGGGGGGGGATGAATTAGCTGGGAGCAGGCATTCCAGAGCCAGGTGTGGTAGCACATGCCTATAATTCCAGCACTCTGAGAGGCTGAGGCAGAAGGATTGACATGTTCAAGCCCAGCCTGGGCAATTTAACAACTTACTGAGACTGTATCAAAATAAAAAATAGAAAAAGTGGGCTGTAGTTCAGTGTGAAGGCCCTCAGTTCAATTTCTGCAAAAAACAAAGAAATATTTCAGGCAAAAGTAACAAACAGCAAGGGTAAAGGCAAATGGGATAGATAGATGTAAGTTTGTTTGCAGAACAGCTTCTGTTCCAGTGTGGCTGAGGCTTGTCAGAAAAAGAATGTGTTGAGACTGGAAAAGGCAGCAGAGTCCAGCTACCAGAGCTCCCTGTATAGGGCTCAGAAGCTCAAGCCCTGTACTGCAGTCTCATGCCAGACTTTTACTATGTAAGCCACAAGATCCTTTCTAGGAATAAAAGCTTTCATGCATATCCAGGGTATGCAGAGATATGATCAAGAGCTACTTACTCATTTTGAAGTAGGAGGCAGTTCCTAGGGTTCTATACACACTTGCCTTTTATCTTCTTCTGGTGGCCATAGAAAGTCAGTCTCTCTGGGCTCCTTTATGGAATCCTGGAGTCCCTAGAAGGACAGTTACAAAGTCATGGATGTCCACTAGGGAGAGATTCTGGGAAACTTAAGTGTGAAAGGACAAAGCCAGAGCTCCTGTTAGAAAACCAAGTCCAGGACCTGGAGAGCAGACTTGGGAACTAGAGATTTAGGAGGAAAATGTGGCAAATGTGCTGAAAATGAAGGAAGATCTGAGCTGAAGAAGTGGCCAGGAGGTGGGAGAATTGGGATTCAATGGGAAAATGTTTCCAGCGTTGACATCCACAAGATTTAGGGAGCAGTTGCGTGTGGGAGGTGAATAAGAAAGGAAAGTCAGGAATGATGGCATGTGTCTCATCTGAGCGATCATGTGTCCAAGGGAGTACCTGGCCAAAAATGGAAAGGCAGGATGATGTGGGGGCAGGGAGAGGAGTAGAATAGGAGGGGACAAGAGGGAGTCCAACTTTGGATGTCCCTGTGAGAGACACCCGGGAGAGATTTCTTTCATTCACAGGACTCACATTGTTGAGCATCTGTTACAGCTATTTGCTGGAAGCTATCTTAGGTGCTTGGAATGCATCAGTGAACAACACAGACAAAGCAAAATAAGAAAATTCCCATTCTAGTGCACTTTCTATTCCAAAGAGAGGAAACAAACAATAAACAACAAATGCCCTGTAATACAGTTAATTGTATGTTAGGTGGTTACAAGAGTATGGGTAAAGACAAGGGTGTGGATAAAAATAAATATGAGGGCAGCATAATGGAGATCAGAAGGCTGGGTTGGAGCTCAGGATGCAGTTAATAGGATGGCCACAGAACACAGAGGTGAGGGCACCTGGTACTCGTGAGCAACAGCACCAAGCCACTGGAACAGGAGTGGAGTGAAGGTAAGAACAGCAGATGGTGCCATCAAAGACAAGGACAGGTCATGGAAGATGTTCAAGGTCATGGGGAAAACTTGGGGTTTCACTCTGTGAGAAAGGGGAGCCGCCCACAGATTTGAGGCAGAGTGCCATAATTTGACATCTTTCAAAAGCATCCCTCTGGCTATGTTGAGAAAAGATTCTTGTTGAGGAGAAGGAAAGATCAGGTACTGATAGTGGACACAGAACAGAGAAGAGGCTGCTGTAATTATCGGGTGACAGATGACAATGGCTTGAACCAGCATGGCAGGAAAGGCATGGGTTCTGCGTATATCCCAAAAGGAAGGCTGACAAAATATCCTGACAGCTTGAATATGGAATGTGAAAGATAAAGAGGAATCAAGGATAATGCCAGGTTTGGAGCCTGAACAGCAGAAGGATGGAAACTAAGCTAACTATGAAAATCATGAATTCCCATAAAACAGAATTCTAGAGTATTCCTTGCAGTTTCAGAATCAGAAACCATTGCCACCTATTTCTTTGCTTGAAAAAGTAAGACCAAAAACTCGGCTCCATGTGCTAGGGGTTAATGGGGCCTATGGAAGCCCATCTGCTCTTCTCTTTTTCCAGTATCCTTTTCACAAAAGCAGAGCTCAGACACAGAGCAGGAGTTTCAAAGAACATTACTTTGCAACACAGAAAGTCAAGGTCATTGACTGTAGGTCTGCTTTTCAGGATAGGTCCTGGGTGAATGAGGGATCTTTCAGCCCCAGATGTTGGTACAGCCTTTGAGAATTGAGTCTCTAAATGCAAAACATCAGGTTCAGAAGTGCCTTGAGGTTGGCTGCCATATGCAGCTGGCAAGCATCCCTTGAAATCAGCAGATGAATAGAGCACTTATTGATATAAATATCATCACCGCAGCAGCTGGGCGCCTTGCAAAAATAAACAATGACACAGCATGAGCATCAGAAAAGCATCGGAAAAGCCACCCTTGGCACCTGGAGGGCAGTTCTTTGAAGTAGCATCAGCGTTTGTCTACCAGAATGCTCTTGCCAAGGCAGCCCATGGAGAGGGCCGGCCAAGCCACATGGACCATCTGCCTGCAATGGACCTGTGCATTGCTAGATTGCTCTGAGAGAACCACATTCTGTGGTTTGACCATGGACCATAAAAACTTGGGGGTTGGGCAGAATACCTGTTGTTTCCAGCAAAATAGGTATGAGGAAAAAAGTGTGAGCTTTCAGAGTGCTTTATTTTCATGCACTGCTTGCTGCTCTGCCCCTGCTCAGAATCATACACTACTTCATTCAAGCAGTCATCCCAGCCCCAAGTAGTCTATTTTCCACAGTGGCTGCTATTCAAAGATAATTATGATCAATGAGGGCTCATGACAAAGATTCTCAAATTTCTGCCTTAGACCCAAGAGATTTTTCTAACTCTTTAGAACTCCAAAGCCCTGTGGTCAGATTAGTGAGGCAAAGTCCTAGAACCCCAGCATCAGCAAAAGACACTGTGTTTCCTCAGACCCACCAGAAAGGTAATTTCACACACATTCAATTTAGAAGCTCTCTTCCATCTTGTAGGCTTTATGGATAGATCAGGGTACACGGGAGAGGAGACACCAGAAAAAAAAGCCCTATTGCAGTCATGTCACATCATAGCATTTAGAAAGCTCAGGAAATCTTCCATGCCAGCCTTGGGGTAGGCTGCGTGGTAGACAGAGTCATGGTCTCCCAAAGACACCTACATCCTGATTACTAAAACCTGCTGTGTGAGTTAGCCTTCCCATCACGTGGGCAAAGCACCTAACACCCCCAACTTAAAGGATGATAGATTTAATTTGGGAGATTCAGCCTGTGGTTGGCTGGCTCCAAGGCAGCGCCTCATGATGGAAGAGTGTGGCAGATGAAAGCTATTTACCTCATGACAGCCAGAAAGCAGAGAACAGAGCGCTCCCCAAGAGGCATGGGTGAGACCATATATAGTACCCAAGGACCTCCCTCCATGTTTCACCCAGACACACCCACTCAGGAGCAAGCTGTACTAATTTGCTAGGTATTTCTTAATCTAGTGAAGTTAGCAAATCAGGATGAACAGTCACACCTATGAATATGTTGTTTTACCTGGGAAAAGAGACTTTGCAGATGTGGTGTCATTAAGGCCCTTGAGAAGTACAGACTGTCTTTGGGTTATCCAGTTAGGCCCAATGAGATTAGAATCAGTGAATGATAATGTGAGAACAAAGCAGAAACTGGAGGGTGATGGCCACAAGCTGAAAACTGCAAGCAAACTCTAGAAGCTGGAAGAGTTAAAGAATGGATTCTCTCCTAGAGATTCCAGAAAAGAAAGCAGCTCTGCTGGCATCCTGATTATAACCCCTTAAGACTCATTTCATAATTCTGACTTCCAAAACTGCAAGATAATAAATGTATGTTGTTTTAAGGCACTATGCTTACAGTAATGAATATAGACTGTAAACCTGAAACCAAAAATTCAGATCCAGAGTAATAAGGATGAGAGAAGAGTAGAAAGTGAGTCTAAAATGATGGCAAAAGCCAGAGTCAGCATTGCATGTTAAAATAGGGTGTGGTTTGAGCTGGAGAAATTAATG